ACCCCCCCCCCCTCCCCCCCTCTAAAATCAATTCTCTCCTGGAGAACGTCTTCGTGAGCCTCTCATGATTTCAGGATAGTTGAAACCCTCTTGAACATTTTAGAAAGAGTGAATATGAAATTCTAATCACGAAAGGTGTTCCCCGAGGGGATACATACCTAGAGTTTGTTTTGTGAAGCACGTCAATTCTCTCCTGGGGAGCGTCTTCGTGAGCCTCTTATGGTTTCAGGACAAATCCTATGATGTTCCGATTCAATGCTCACCGATGATCTGAGCCATGGGGCAAGTTTGTTTTCCTAAGAACCTTTTTGAACATTTCGAGAGCATATGTTTGAACATTTAGAGTGCATATGAACATATATTTACGAAAGGTCGCCTCCGAGGGGATAAATCACCATGTCGAACATTGCATTTTTGTTCCTGCCTCTCGCGTTCTCTTCTCTTCCCGCTGTCCTACCTTTCGTGTCTCCCTCCTCTCAAGTTAATTTTTGATCGCCTCACGGAGTTTGGATCTTCTTTGCCTTGCCTTGGCCGCTTCATCTGAGGAGTTGCAAGAGGATTGCCCCGATGCTTGGCTCGCGTCGCCGAGATTTCGGTGGGCTTTTCACATTCAAAGCTGACGCGGGCGCGGAAGACATCCATAAAGCTGACGCCCCCTCCCTGAAAAGAAAAGTTTCCGACTTCCATGGCAGATCATATGTTTTCCCCAAGTTGTGGGTATAAGGTGACTGTTTTTCACCTTTGGAAAGACACCCCTTGTGGGCCCTGCGCGGGCCCGAGAGCGAAAGGGTCGACTGGTCCATCCCTGCAAGGTGGCGATCAGTTGATGAGTGAAAAACACCAATTGTGCAAAACAGCCCATGGGCTCAATATATGGCCCAGTGCGTGGGGTGGTGCTTTTGAAGGGATTCAACTCAAAAATTGTAGATAGAAAGACATCACATGCAAACTCTTTATTTAGACTTCTTATTAGACTCTTGATGAATAACACAGTTTATTGCATGAGAAGGTCTTTCAATCCAAATGGACGGGGTTTAAATTGATGTGAGTTGACCACCTGAAGTTCGGACCTAGTCAGCCCCTTTCACACACCCTGGTAGCTTGACCCGGAGAAGAACCAGGGCCCCTGTGAAGGGGTGTCTAATTATAGCATATTATAGTTCCCTGGAGACCCCTTAGGGGTCTCCATTGACCACCCAGAGCCATTGGGGCCATGGAAGGGAGGTGAGGAGTTGGGTCAGGGCGGTCGAAAGGAGCCCCTTGCGACCGGATCTGTGTGGCACTACTGGGATCTACAAGAGATATACCTGGATCTTCCAACTGTGACAAACGTTTGCTTTTTCACACCTAAAACCAGCCAAGCTCGGCAGACATTTGGCATAGTTGGAAGATCAACAGGTCACCACCTGCGACTTTGTCAGCAAACGCCTCCGGAGGAAACCTGTAGAGTCGGGTGCTGGTATAGGTATACTATCACAAACGCGACGGATGGGACTGCGAGGACGGAATGCAGGGTGGTGCCATCAATGGGGCGGCATATGTGGCAGTCCCATGGAGTGTATGGGTATAGGTATACTGTGGCACTACGGGCCCTGATGATGTGGGTTTCCACTGAGGAGTTATTGGAGCTTTTCCGATGGCCTGGCTTGCGGGGTCTTCTCCAAGAGGCGCGGCGGCTGGGGGGTGGCAAGATTCCCGGTGTGGGTTCCAACCCACATTCTGGGAAGGTGGTTGGTGGGTGCCAAGGCGGGTCGAACTACTCAGGGTGGCTGGAGGGTGGCCCTACGGATTTCAGGAGATATCAAGAGCTAAATGCTGCACGGATGGCGGAAAACATTGATGCCACGTGTGCAGCTCATGACAGATGGCACAAACAAATCTCAAGAGCCTTTTTGATGGCCCTGCGCCTCAGAGCCCTGCCCTGGTCACTCGCAAGAATCCAGGCGGTGGAGGCGGCGGAAGGTAGACCGTCGAACGAACCTTGTAATGAACTGGGATGCTTTTGCGGCAAGGACCTACACTTCCAGGTCAAAGGAATTTGCATCAAAGCTTTCAAGCACAGTCCACCGAAAATGACAAGTAGACAAGTAGACTGTGTTTGCAGTCTACAGTTCCAGTTTCTGTAAAGGGCGCCATCTTCAGAGCTAAGGAGACCTTCCAAATCACCTTTCGCGGATTTTCGCGGCCCAACAAAAACTGAACACCCTCATACCCAGTCGGTGGAAAACCTGCAAAACCTGCTTTGGGGCGAGCACACTCAACAAGAACAGGTAGAGTTCCTTCGGTTCACCTTGATCTTTTTAGGGGCCTTCCAGGCTCTTGTTGGAGCTTCGCTCCGCCCGAGCGACGCGCTCCGAGGCCTTTGCTCTACCGAAGCTCTTTTGCAGCGCCGACCCGCTAGGGGGTGACGCTCGGTCGGGTTCAGTCGGACCTCTCGGATCTTTCTCTTCCGCACAGCCAGAGCGGATCAGTTGGGGTAGTGCCGGGGGGTTTTCCTGGGTTTTGAGTGCGTAAGTTGTTGAGGTTGTATGTTACAAGTATTTGGACACTGCTGAAGTTTCAGGTTCAGGTTCCAACAGTCATCAACAGTCAATATAGAAGTTATAACTATTTGAAGTGTTTTGGGTTAGCGCTGTGACCGACTACTGTGACCGACAAAAAATATGGAAGTTTTTCTGCATGCCTATCCACCACCTGAAAGTTTGGTAAAATGGGAAAGCCCGGGACAATCTTCCAAGAATCTCAATCCATCTCCCAGGTCTACTTGAACTTTTTCGAGCGCGGCGACCGTGGCTTTGGTGTGTTTCAACTTTCTCCTGATTTCTATTGTTTTCTTCTTTGTGAAAAGGGGCGCAACGGACAATGGCATGAACAACACCGGGAAGTTCGGAGGGACTCATATACCCATGCATATATGTATAGAGGGAGCACGAGAGTCATCCTGGACTAGATAGAATTGGTGAACATCCCACAAACAATAGGAACCTGATCATGTCTTTGGATTGGTTTATCGTTTATTTGTCTGTTTATAATGCTTCGGGATGATTAAACATGACATGTTATACACCAGGAGATTGCGTTCGGTATGCCTATGTGATCAGGTATGCCGATGGTCCACCCTGGTAGAGTTCAAAAACCAGTCCTTTTGTTCTCCTGGTGGGTAGATGTTTAGAATTTGTTCATTCCAGATGCTTTTGCCAAATCCTGATTTTGCTTCGTACGGTAGATGTTTAGAATGTTTTGTGGGTGAATTCTTTTTGGGGAAAGATTGCTTTAAAACAAAGTCCCTATGGATCCACATACCTTCTCAGAAGGTACTTGGGCCCGACCCTGGCGCCTACATAACTAGTCTCCAATCACCGTACCTGAGAAGGTACTTGGATCCTTAGGGAAAGTATATGTCAAGATACTTGGTCTTGGTTCTCCGAGGTTTGGGTTGGCACTTTGATCGCTCCGCCTTCTCTGTGAACCTGATTCTGCGCGAGTGCCCACGTGGACAGGGCACTTGGCCTCCAGGGGCTTTCATGTACATCCCTGATGCTTGGAGGCACTACGCTCTGAAGGCAACAGTGGAAGTTGTTGAACAAGATGGGGGTAGATGCCAAGTTTTGCTGGGTTGAACTTAAGCTGCGCCAAGTTAGCTCCATGCTTTTAGTGCAAGAGGTCTGTCATGAAGAGCGGTTTCTGCCACTCTTCGCAGATGAAGGCGGCCAAGGTCGGTGAACGTCTTCTTTTCCAGCAGAAACGGAGTCAGGGAGTCAGGTGTCCCTTATGGATTGGACGGTGTGGTGTTGGAGTACGTACCAAACTAGGTACTGTGGAAGTGACGATCATTCTGTCTGGGTGGAAGTTACTACTCTACCCTACTTATATATAGGTCTCCATTGGAAGTGCGTTTGGGATGTGGCCCACGGATTGCGTAGTGCGAAACCACCCACCCGCGGACACGGTTTTTCGATGCGAAAAAAAGTGAACGGTTACGCCCCATGGTAGCAGACTGAACACAGCCTGTCCAGGGTGGAAAGATGCTGAGCAACCTCAGGGGGGAACTCTTGGAGCACCCCTGAAACGTGAGGGGGTTTGAGCATTCCGAAAGCTGAGGATTCCAAGGGCTTCTTCGATGCGAATCCCAACTTTGATCTGGCCACACTTCAATCTGGCTCGAATCCCAGCTCCAGCGTCGGATTGAATCCCACGGTGGTCCCAGATTTGAAGCCCGGGACCTTGTCCCTTGGAGCTTGGTTAGTTATATTCTTTAAACGATGCACACCCATGTATGTATGTAATGGCATATCATGTGTATATACATATATATTGATTGGCACCCCCCTTCCAAATACACAGCTGTGCAAGGTGCACTGTGAATTCCTTTTTAGTCCCTTGAGGGCGTTTTGCTTCTTTCAGGCTCCCACTGAATCAGCCCAGCCAGTTCCAGCACATCCCGAGGTACCTGTTTGCTGGACATCGCAGCTTGCATTGTGTCTCCGAGAACACTACTGACACGGTCCGCGTGAATGCGATATTTACTTACAATTTAGAGCCCAACGTCAGCTTGAACCAGTACACGCGGCAAAAATTCTTTGGCAGCTGATTTGATGGATGTTCATGGACCCCCCAGGGGCACAAGTGAGATCAGTTGAAACCGCTGATTGGCTGTTGCTGGTTGCTTCGGTTCAGAAGACCATGCATTCACATTCATTTGAACGACTACATGCAGCTGTTCGAATCATCCTTGATCCTTGATGTTTTTTTCTCTACGTGGGTTGATTGAGCCCTCATGTGACCTGCGTGAGGCTCTTGGAGAAAAGAACCACGCTCGTGACCTCGTGTGACCAAAGTGTTTTCCAGTGATTTGTTTTGAAGGATGCATGAAACCAAACTAAAGTTCCAGGCGTCCTGTTCTGGAGGGTCGACGTGCCTTTTTTGGGCGGAATCCTCAGTCCTTTGTTTAATCTCTGTGGGCCTTGTAACCTCAGAGAAACCAAACACCTTGGTATGTTTGTTGCAACGCTTTGAAATGCTTTGAAATGGTTTTAGGTTTTGGAGGCGTGTGAAGCAGCATTTCTTCTAAAATTTGGAGTCATATTTGCTACATGTGTTGCGCAAAGATCATCCCCCATGCAGGAACACTTGTTCCGTTGCAGTTACCTTACGCAAGTTTGCCCGAAACATACACAGGGGTAGAGCAAATGTTCGTTTGCCAAACTCATGCAGTGTGGCCATGTTAAGAACTGGGGAAGCTAACTTTGCCGCACATCAGTAACCAAGTGTTTTACCCCAGCCTCTTCACATCCACGTTTGTATAATTGGGGGTACTGGGTATGATCAGGTATGTGCGTGAATGGTGGGGCATGGTTGAACGATTTTCTCCATGACAAAAAACCATCATTTGAAAGCAGCTAGCAGCTAGCGCTTTCCAACCGCAGTTCCACAACCGCTTTGGGTCATACTTGGGATGGTCTTGAAATACTTCTTCGTGTCGACTTTTCCGGAAGAAAAGCGATGCACCGAACACGCCACACAGAAGCCACACGCAGGAGAAGGAGAAGGGCATTCGCTACAGAAGCCACCCGGCCCAATCACGCATCGAGAGCTTGGAGCTAGCTCGAGGCACGGGCAAGGCAGCTGAGATCCGTGGGGTGTGGGTGGACCAGAAAACCCACAAAGCTAGCCTTGTTTTTTGAGTGACAGTTCCTCAACGCGGAGTGTGATCTTTTTGATGGTTTGCATTTTGTGTTGTTAAACTCTTGAACATCACTTCTGATGACTTGAGCTGGTTTGACTTGGACTGGGGATTGAAATGTCATTGGGTTCCCCATGGATGCGTTAGCATGCAACCTATGATTTGGCATGGCATCGATCGGTTCGCACTCGCCGTGCGCACTGGCATGCTGCACGTGGTGTCTGGACAGCACACGTGGTTGCCGTGTTGGTCGATCCTAAGGCTTTTCGGAGCAGGTGGTGAGACATGTGGAGGAAGCCGCAGTGAAGAAGAAGATGGCAGATGAGCACCTGGGCGGAGATATACATGGTGGACAGGGCGAAATTGGTGCATGTCTCCCAGGGCCTTGACCAGAATGCACCCCTATGTATTGAGGTCTAATGAGGTCTATTAGTAGGTCTATTATTACATATGCAATGCACCAAGTGTGTGGGATATTTGGATAGCTTGGCGTGAAGTGATGGGAGGCAAACATGTGCATCGCTTTGGTCGAACACGCCGGAACCATGGCACCCGCAAAGCTACCGCTCTCGACACGGAAACCGTACCACAAACCAAAGTTGGTCTCATTTTCATCTTCAGCACCTTTAGTCTTCCAACGAACCAACAGCACACTCGGTGGAAACTGGACAAAAATGAACAAAATAGTATAAGCTCCCTGCAGTTTTGCTGTTGGTGGATGTTGATCTGGGGTGTGTCCCTCAAGAAAGGTAACGGTCTTCCGATGCTTTCCGCTTTATTTTGATGTTTGGTGAAAGGATGCGACAGGCCTGCAACCTAACCATCATCCCTTGTTACTGGAACTGGGGTTTTCTATGTATTACCAAGGGTCATGTGGATATGTCGTAATTATTGTGCATTCAGTATGTATATACCCAAGTTTTATTTTGGAGGTAGTTGAAACTATATACTATAGTTATTTCAACTATACCTCCTAAATAGATTGAACTTGAGTATGTATGCATCCTGAATGCACAGCTGACTAGCTTAGTCTATAATAGACTAGTCAGCCTCACGCCTTTTGCGATGCAAACCATGATGGGATTGGCCCATGCCCACGGCCCATGCCCACGGCCTTTCACCGCGACCACCTGCCGAGCACGCAAGGATTCACAGCACGGGGACGCAAGGAGACGTCGTGATTCACTCCCCTCAAAACCTCCCAAAGCAACGGGTGTGAACGCTTACAACATGTTGCGAACGGAGTGTGGGCATCTACCACACCAGGTACCTTCTTTCAGTCGTTGACTACATTAGCTTTAGGCCGGTTAGGGGTTCCGATCCATATGTGGGATGGAGCGTGCGAAGGCATTGATTTGGTGGAAGTGGTATGCCTGGAACCCCAGTCCCAACCAGAAAGAAATGGATGTTTCCGCAAACAACCATTTGCTATGTAAAGGATGTCAATTGCCATATTGGAACAACCATGTGTTTCAGTGGTTTTTTGTTTCTCATAGGTTATGTGGGAGTTACTCTTCGTTCACCTCAAAGGAGCCTTAGCCAGCAGAGAAAGGAGCCTTAGCCCCCCACGCCACGGTGTAATGCACACATCAACTGCGCGACGTGCGCAACCTGCCAGTTCGCACCGGAACGCAGGCAAGAACGAAGTCGGCTATACTGGGTGACTTGGTGCTGGGAAAAGAACGGACGCGCATACACATGGTTCGGGATGGTTGGGTGGGGAAGCTATGGTGGTCTCAGAGAGCTAGGAGATCCTAGGAGTACAGTGCTGTTTGAAGAGCTTGTATCCCATGACCATCACCAGAAACATGGTCACCAGCGCTCGGCAGAGAACCCATTTCTCAACGAAGATCCATCTTGTAGAGACCGCACGTGTTGTGACAGCCAAGGTCCTAGAAACAAGGGTTTTTGTAGGGCTCCTGGCCTACCTCCTGAGAAGATGGTTGGGTCTAACATGGTCTAATCATTTTCTGAGGATATGGTCCAGGAGCCCTGGGGATCAACGATCCGGTCCTGGTTCTTTCAAAGTGACGGAAAGTTCATCTCCACTTTGGGGGTCACTTCATCCATCTTCATCCCCATCTTTATGTAGCCACCGGAAGGCCTCCCGCAAATATCCTTAATTTTTCCGCGCATGCTTTGTGATGCTTACCAGTGTCATGCTGGCCGAACTTGCAGTTGCTTTTCAGAGCAGGGCCATTTGCATAATGTGCATGTTCGGCGCGCACTTGTCAAGGAGCATTGCTGCTAGCAGCTAGCACTAAGAAATGCTCATTCAAGTGGCTTGCTTCGGGCAACACGCCAAGGAATTGAGCAGAAAGCTCACAAGAACAAACATCCACAGCACAAGCTGTTGCAAGGCAAGAGGTTGCCCTGCAGAATCCTGAAAGATTGAACCCAAGACCGCAGGGCATTTCTACTAGTAGCAAGGACGCTACTAGTAGCTCCTGGCATTATGACTAGTAACAAGACGCTACGAGTAACAAGGTGCATCGCTATTAGCAAGGACGCTACTAGTAGCTATGTCCCTATTTCATCACCCCAGCCCCCAAAAATCAATTCCAGGACGTCTCACCGCCCCTTTCCATGAAACTATTGGGCTTTTGTTCTTTGGTGAAACGGTACCGGTTTGTGCCCCCTTTTTTGCTCTCTTGTCAAGATCGCCAAACAAGATGATCAAACAAGAAAGAGGATGCCAATGGCATGGAAATCAAAAGATGCCGAAAGAACTCCTTCAGGCGTGCCCTTCGTCGTGGCCATGACCCCTCGAAGGTCTCAACTGCAATTGGATGGCTCAGATTGTTTAGTGTGTCAAGGTCCACTTGCAAGAAGGCATACGATGCCACCCAACAAAAGGGTCACCACGTGGTCACCACTAGGAATTCACTAGGAATTCAGCTGCATCATGTGAAACGGACAGCGCCTATCACACATTGAGTGAAGCACGAACCTCCCGTGGAGACTCCCGTGGCACCAGAGACGAGGTGTGTTTTCACACTGAGCACGTGGGTTCCCGAAGAGACTCTCAATGCCATGGCCCAGACACGACCCATGGGACTGCCATGTCGGACTGCCGAGAAACGGCCAGGGGTGGTGCCAGAGGGGTCAATGGGGCGGCATATATATATATATATGGCAGTCTCATGGAGTGTTTGGGTGGTGCAGTGGGTCTTTGGATATATGATTCGCACGTGGGTATGTTCATGACCAGCAAGCAATGTGGTTGGAGTTGTGGTTGGTTTTATGTCGGTGTAGTGTATAGAGGCTAAGTGAGATCCCCCAAGGCGTTCCTTTTTCTTACTGTTTCAGCATTTCACGCATGTGGGGCCCAGGTGGGGGAACTATGGCACCGTCCGTTTGCTTCAGAAGCCGTTCACGCCTGCGTCAACCGTTGACCTTCCTGAGGAGAAGGAAGAGCAGCGCGCGAAGGTCAGATATACCATGAATCTCCCCAAGTGCGAAGGCTCGCTGCATTCGGTTCCACTCCTGAGGTAGCCAGTGACCTGAACTAGGACCCTACAGGATGCTTTCGTACTGTATATCATCATTCAGTGACCTGAACTAGGACCCTACAGGGGCCTATAGGATAGTCTAGTTCGGGTTCTGACCCACCTTTGCTGGCTCGTCAATACTCGAGTTGCGGGCCGGGTTGGATCCACCCGGCCCGGGCCCGGTCGAGAGGTCGAGAGCGCGGGGTGATGGTCGGCAACAGGCCATAGAGGTACCGTTTACGGGTCTGCCCGTTCTCACCTCTAACAGTCAATAAACTTAGGACTTACCTTACCTGTCTCTCATCTCACTTTGGGCCTTAACTCCCATGTGACTCTCTGTGTCATGTGTGGCACCTGGGTGGCACCTGTCAGAGTCCATCAACCAACGAGTTCTGAGGTCAGCCCGGCATGGCTGACCCCACACCGATCACTGGATATCAGATGATATAAGTAAATAAGTAGCACAAGATGGTCTGGCAAGTTCAGAATACCAATGAGAGAGAGAGAGAGAAAAAAAAAAAAAGAAAAAGAAAAGAAAAGAAACAACATTTAAGCTACGTCCCCAGTTCGACTACAGTCCACCACAAACATACCACCTCTCAGTTTCCATTTTCGAGGCATTCACTGGA